GAGTAGTTCATCACCACCAAACCAGTATTATATGAAATGCTGAAAGGTATCCTTTAAGAAGAGGAAGAAGAAAAAGGTAAAGATAATTATGAACTGGTGATTATAATAGAATCAGGGACATAGAAAGGGAATGGACTGACTATTCTTGGGGGGGAAAGGGGTTTGGGGGTGCTGGAAGAGATTGGACAATAATCGTGCACCTATGGATGAGGACAGTGGGTGGGGAGTGAGGGCGAAGGGTGGGGTGGGAACTGGGTGGAGGGAGTTATGGTGGGAAAAAAGAGGAACCAACGTAATAATCTGAACAATAAAGATTTAATTAAAAAAAAAAAAAAGAAAGCAAACAGGGTGCAAAGGCCCAGTGGCCACTGAGCGCCTACCACGAGGCAGCACTTCACCTCGTTTAACTCCATCTTTCAACATGTTGCATTACATCGTATTAGTTTATTTTATCAAAGACGCTGTATTCCCAAGAAGCTGGGTCCCTGTCTGGGCGCCCCAAACCTATCTCCTCTATTATCACGCTGACCTTCCTTCCCCGTAGGAAGAGTACTTTCACCCCAATTTCCAACCAACCCAAAGTTCTAGCTCCTTTCAAATTCCAGCTTCAAAGGCGAGCTCCACCTGTTGGTCCCCCGCCCATCTAGATCGGGTCGCTTGGGCCTCGAGGAGCTGCTGTTTGTCTATTGACTCACAGGACCTTTCCGATATTCTGGCTATTTCTGGAGAAACTCCTTCCTACTTTGTGAATTACCATTTGCTTAGGAGCTTTCTGACATACAGAAGTTTCTAGCTATTATAGAGCCAAATCCATCAATTTTTATTTTATTTTATTTTTTTAATATATTTTATTGATTTTTTACAGAGAGGAAGGGAGACGGATTTTAGAGCTAGAAACATCGATGAGAGAGAAACATCAATCAGCTGCCTCCTGCACACTCCCCACTGGGGATGTGCCCGAAACCAAGGTACATGCCCCTGACCAGAATCGAACCCGGGACCCCTCAATCTGCAGTCCAACGCTCCATGCACTGAGCCAAACCGGCCAGGGCTCCATCAATTTTTAAATTTGTTTCTTGCACTCCTTTTATGTTTGGAAAATTCTTCTATCTCAAAAGCTAAAAAATATTTACCTTTATGGCATCACTTTTTATATTTAACTCCTTGGTCTACCTGGATGTATCTGCTATAAGATATGATGTATTGCAGTTAACTTCATATATCTACTTGTCTTTCACTTCACTGTATATGAGATCTTTGTAAATAATCTTACAAGTACTTTCTGAAACGAGATTGGGCACACACGAGTAAATAAATGAATGAATGAGAGGTAGAAAGACTTTGATTCAGAAAGCCACGGCACTTGTTAATGCAAACTTGAACCACTTGTGATTTTACGCAGCTGAGCAGCAGTGATGGGAGGCAGAGAAGGGAGGTGGAGCTGAGGAACACAGACTGTAGCCAGCATCTTGGCTCTACCATTTCCCTGCTGTGCAACCTTAAGCAAAGTGCTTCTCTTCTCTAAGCTTCAGACTTATCTGCAAGAACAAGGACAACAGTGCCCACTCCACAGGTTACTTGTGAGGATTAAGCGAGACCATCGTAATGCCACCATCAGAGTAAACGCCACTGCTAGTGGTTTCCCCGGAGCTTTCTAACCCATCTCCCTGACCCCTCCCCCATTCCATCTATGCTTCTCAATGCCAACAAAGCCACCTTCTAAATGCAATCTGCCCTGCGTCATTCCTCTGCTTAGAAATGTGGATGAACACCCTCACGACATGACCCATAAAAGAAGTTTCAAACACCTCAGCAAGATACGCGAGGCCTTTGAGACCTGGCTCTGGCTTCATTAACCTCAGTCAGTCACAGCCTCATGTCACCTGTGCTCATTAATAAGACCATGCAACACCCCCCCCCCCCCCCCCATTAGAGACCTAGTGCTTTCATCCTGCAACACCTTAGCTCATTCAGGACCCACTGTAGGGAGCCATTTATCAAGGTTCAGCTCCAGGGCCACTTCCTGAGCAGAGCTCTCTCTGAACTCAGGCTGACCGGTGTCCCTTCAACAAGCACCAGTGCCATCAGACTTGGTAATGCCTGTGGTACTTACACACAGGTGTGCAGGCAGAGCTGATGCCTGAGCCACTTATCTGTCCAACTGCCTGAGGGCAGGGCCTTTGAGGACTGGGCGTCTCCCACACCCTGTGTGGCCAGATCTGGGACAGGACCAGCTCACAGGAGGGTTTCGAGAATGTCAGCTCAAGGAAAGATCAACTTCAGAACATGCCCAAGTGCTCCTTACACTGGAATGTGTATCTTGAGTTATATGTCTACTCTTCCATCAGGTGGAAAGCAGAAATGAACATAATCCGATATGGGGAAAGGTTACTTACCCTTCATTTCTGGCCCATAACAAGTTAGGGCCTAAGACAATGGCAATGTTGCTGGGAGTCATTTTATTGATGTCACTGGTCTGAGCAAGCTTTGCGAGGAACTTGATTAAATACCTGTGGTACAAAAGATAAGGGGAAAGCACCAACTCTGAAAAGGTTGCAGAAATAGCATCTTCCTGCCCACGCGCCCAGGCCCAGAGTGCTCAGGTGCAGCTAACTCAGACTCTAGCTCAGGTTAAACACTTTACAGATTTCCTGTGTTCCACGTTTCAGAGGACGGACACACTTAGGGCTTGGAAGTGGAAAACAGCTCAGAGGTCAACCTCAGTGATTCAACCTCTACTTGCTGTGTATTTCTAATCCATTTCTCCTTTAGGCACTGTCTACTCTGCCCCTGAGTAAGTTACAGTGGGAGTCACAGGGGCTCAATATACACGAACACAGTAACAACAGACTCAGTAAAACAAAACAGGAGCACATACACACACAGGGAGACAGAAATGTGGGTGTTCTGCTTAAAGGGAACTGTGTGAAAATGCCTCATGCTGTAATTAGAAAAAATACCCAGTTTACCACATAAATGTATTCTCTCGCACTATAAAAAATGAAGAACCCAACTACTTATCAATAGAGGGCTAATTAAATAAATAACAATAGATTCACACAGCGGAATACTATGCAGCCATGAAAAATGACCAGGTGCTGATGTGGAAAAATCCCCAAGATGCATATTAAGCAAAAAGGGCAAGGGAGAAAATGATACGTAGAGTATATGCTACCACTCGGTTTTGGAAAACAGTAGGGGCGGCGAGAGAAGGAAATGTGTGCATGGATGCACGCATGTATCTGCTGGCACAGGCACTGGCTCTGAGAGGCTCCAAGTGCTGTGTCTCAGGAGGGGAACGAGGTGGCTGAGGGACAGGAGCAAAGAGGACTTTTCACTGTACACTTTCTGAATTCTGAGCCATGGAAAGGTGCTCCCTATGCAAAAGACAACTGGTAAACATTATAAAGAGGAAAACAAAATGGAAGGCCAGATCCCAAAGTACCAAGCACCGGGACGGACTCGGAACCGGGCAAGAGCACCCGCAATGCCACGCTAGATGTGCCTGCGAGCCAGCGAGGCCCGTCACAAGCACCTCGGGTACGGAGAGGGCGTTTCCTTAGCTCAGCCACGGACCCCAGGACTGAGGAACACATCAGGTAACGTGCCAGGCATTTCACCAGGAAAGTCTGTGCCATTTTGGACCAAGTCCCCTTACAAAATATTCTTTGATTTTAAACAACTTCATTGCCAACGGCCACCCTTTTTCCTTCTCTCTCCCCTTCTTCGAAGCCACATTTTAAGTGAGATGGAAAATAGAGGTTAAACTCCAGAACTTTATCCTATGGTAAATTTTCTTAGAAACAGAGTTATTCCATAAAATAACATACAATGTCCATTTCTTAAAATTTTACTTAGGATGATTTATGCTCTATTTAAAACTATGTAGCATATATGGAGGATATTACGGAAAGTACAACTATTGGTTAATTTTTACCCTTTATCTACTAGGCAATTTAGACTTCAAATCCTACACACAGTCAACTGAACCTTCCACAAGACTTTTGTCCTCGGTGACTTGCGGGGTGAAATGACCGGGCAGCTTACCCATGAACGCCGATGTGCTGCAGAAAGGCCACAGTACACATGTAGGTTCCCTTCCTCCCAGCACCCCCAGGGACGCCCCGCACTCTGGGTGTGCCAGCATGCTTGCATTAAACAGCCTCTCTGCTGGGATGAACAGATTTTCATGTCGAGTCACTGTAGTTTGGTGGCTTTATTTACAGAATGTCAATCATACATACCTAAAGTTAACGAAATTTTGTGGTGGCAACTTCTGACATGTTCTCCATAAATCTTGAAGTTTTTTGTCTTGATCCTGCACACTAAGAAAAAATGTTATCCATAACCACTTATGAAAAGTCATATAGTAACCCTGGCCATATGCTACAAACAGTGATGCCTCCACTGACGGAGAGCAAACAGATTTGGAGTCAAATACCAACAAACGACTGAACTGAGCAGTTCACTGACCTCACCAAGACTCAATCTCCTAATGTGCAAAGCTGAGTAAGGCTGGTCCTGCCGCGTGATGGGAGTTTCAGGGGTACAACCATGAGCATCCCCTAGACCAGTCAATGCCTGGCACACCGGAGACAGGGCACCACTGAGAATTCTCTAGAAAATGTGTCTGCCCAGGCAGGGTGTCATGGAGCCCAGATCCCTTGTCCTAAACACAGCAGCCCGCTTCTGCTCTGCAGGCTCAATGTGCAAACTTTCAGACACAAAAGGGCCAGCCCGCAGCCCACAGGGCAGAGTCCACTCCGGCCACCAGTGGGAGACAGTGTCCGAAGTTATCAATATGTCCTCCACCGCCAAGCCAGTCTGGAGAGTTATGGGCAGAGTTAAGTGAAGTTATACTCAAGGCCAGGTGATGTGTCACTGGGGTGGACCGGTGGCCTGCACTGATCATTCTCAGGCACAGAACCAACACACCAAAAGACAGACACCTTCTTTAAAAGCACATTTCCTCACAGGGACGAGTGTGAGAGTCTCAGAACAGAGAACAGTCACGGTTTAGGGGGTCAGGCAGGTGACCCCGTAAAAGAAAGCCCAGAGCTCTCCCCTGCCTGGCAGTGTCAGGCTCCACTACCCAGTCCCACAAACAGGATGTTCACATCAGGCTGAGCCCCAGGCGGGCTCCAGGGAGACAACCACGACTAGGAACTTGCTCTGACTTTAAAATCCTCACCGTCTACAGGGACAAAGTCTCACTCCACAGAGACAGAGGGAAAAAGCTCCACTGCAAATCCCTGGTGAAAGAGACAAGGGATGGTCTCACATCCCCTGAACTATAACTGATCAGAGCAAATGGCTTATTTCTAAGGGAGCGGGTGACAGTGTCTGAGGACGGGATAGAGGGGAAGTCTGTTCTCCTTCCTTCAGGGATGAGGAATTAGGCACCTTTAAGAGGAGGGACGAGACTAGGAGGCAGGCTGGCCAGCAGTGAGAAGGCTCTAGGACTTTTCAAACAATTCTGCTCTGCTTAAAACCAACTACTCCTCGACAGGTGATGCTGGGGATGGAGGGAGGAGACAAAGATGGGAGCACAGTCTCTGTGTCACACAGGTCTGGGTCTGAATCCCAGCTCTGCCCACTACTTGCTACTGTTTGAGACTTCCTAAACTTCAGTTTCCTCCTCAGTGAAACGAGCATGGTAACATCTGCTGTTAAGTTATTAGCTACGGATCACAGGAGGCGATAGGTGTTAGATCAGTACAGTACTCAGACATAGCACATGCCCAGGAAGCATGAACTTTTATGACCAATTATGTCCAATGTCAACGTGACATTATGCACAGCTGAGTTCCCATGCAGCTCAACAGGCACTGGCCGGTACAACACGTATCCCCAGTGACAGGACTTTCTTCAATATGAAAGGGGCTTTGACCAGACAACCCATAATGTGGGAACCACTGTACGTCTTCATCCACTAAATGACACATTTACGTCAATGCCTAAGTGGTGACCTTCCCACATAAGAATCACAATACGCAGTATTTTCATCTTAACCTTCAGAACTGAGGCACAGACTATTTAACAACTATGCTATGGTAATGTTCTTTTCTCACCCAGGAGAGTAAGACAATTTACAAATGGGACACAACAGTGCTTCCCTTCCTTTAACTTTTGAAACTCAGTGCTCTCTGAACTTACCTGGCAACTTGCGTCCATTCTTCATACAGCTGGAAGGTCATCAGCGGCTCGGGCAGCTCCCGCAGGTAGGATTTCAAAGCACCTGGAGGCAGGAGCACTCTCTTTGAGGATACAAAGGGGAGCTGGGCTCTCAGACATATTACTTTGCAAAATGAAATGATCTCAACTGCAATTTTCCAACTATATAGAACAAATTATGACTTGGTGGGAACGGTTAAAGAATAAAATGCCCCTAAAACAATTTCTGTCCCTTGCCACATACAGGGTGGGGCAAAGTAGGTATACAGTCGTTCATATGGAAAATAATACAATAATTAAGAAACATTATACAATAAACTGTGGTGTTTCGCATACTCACATCTGTAAACCTACTTTTGCCTCCCCTGTATATTGAGACCAATGAAAATCAACTCAGCTTCTGAGTCACCATGTTAACAGACAGCACTTCCCCAGGCTGAGCACCATGTGGAGGTGAGAGAAGGGGAGAAAATACAAGCACGCCTCCAAAGACTTGGGTTATAAGCCACCTTCACCTTTACGTGATAACCAGGAAAAAAACCCACAGGAATAGAAAAGGTGTGAGTGTGTATCTACTCTTTCCCTTTTGTTGCTTAAGCCTAGAAGGAGCCATTTCACTTAAAACTAAAATCAACACTGGTACCTGGGTGATCTGAGACTCACCCACCACGGGAGGGCACTCCTTGGAGCTCACCTGCTACAGCATGGGGGTCTGAATAAAACTCATCCAGGTGAGAAGTAGAACAGTCTAAGGCAGCTTTCAGTTTCTTTAATCTGGAGGCCCCAGCCGCAATTCGGAAAAGGCCCTAAAGACAATGCAAAGCCATTAGCATCAAGTTCAAGTTGGGAGCCCGGCACTGAGCAGCAGTAAGACCCTGATGGAGGACCTCCAGCCCCACGGCCAGCACATGCCGCCTGCAGGCGGGGTCACACTGCCAACCTAGTAGTCCTTGCCCTGCCCCATTGCTAAAATACCGGTGCCCATTAGAAATCTATTTAAAAACAATGTACCATACTTCCACAAGGGTGATGCTATAGATTTTTTAAACTTAGAAATCTTTTTTAAAATGGACGCCTCGGGAAAAATTGTAAGACTAAACTGCTAGCCTCTTTCACTGCCCTACATATACGTAAGAGAGGAAAACCCACGAAGGGTCAACAAGTGAACTACGAAGACACTGGGCCAGGAACCTAGTCCAGGTTTCTCAACCGCAGTGGCACTGACCTTCGGGCCAGAGGAGTCTGTGCTGTAGGCTGTCCTGTGCTTTGTAGGATGGCTAGCAACGCCCTGGTCTCTACTCTCTGAAGACAAAGCCAACTCTCCTCACCCCGCCCCCCGACAATTGAGTACCACACAAATGTAAGACTTCCTACACAAGCGGAAGCTCATGGAGCTCTGGTCCCTCAGTGAGCATGCCACTCATTCCCATGAAGCACAGCCAGCGTGCCGCATGGGACTATCAGAGTGGGCGCAGGGAGGGGCAGCACAGGGTGTGCTGGGGAACCGCAGCCCATTCGGGTGCTGTGCTGGGGTCACAGGGAGAAAAGTGGGGGCCCGCCCTGCTGCACATCCCGACGGGACTGTGTGGCCAGGGCAGTGCAGCCCAGAGCCCGGCCGTGCCCTCACCTCCTCCTTCATGCCCGTCTCCAGCAGCAGCATCACACAGGCTTCGATGGGCAGCGCGATCTCTCGGCCACTCCGCTTCAGGTGTTCCTCCAACGGAGTCCCGAAGGCTGGCTTCTCCGCCCACTTATCTAGAGCAGCAAACCGTCAGTAAGATCCGACAACCCTGCGGCATCAACGTGCTGCCCCCAGGCTACCACAGGACTGGACATGGCCAGTGTGACCTCGGATGCAGAACCAGGACGGGCAGTGCTTCCCACTGCTGACCGCAGGCCCACAGCAGCGAGGCTGGAAGCCGTGCTGACAGCACACAGGCAACTGTTTATTTTCAGGTCACAGGTTCTGCTGGGACCACAAAGAGTTAAGGCAGTGTGGCAGAAACACATCCGGTAGAGTGGGAGAACAGAAACAAGACTCCAGGAAGGGCTGCAGGGAGCCAGGCGGGCAGCAAGGGGCTGGTCTGGCCTGTGGGACCTAGCGCTGTCTGAGGCGGGACCTAGTGCTGCCTGAGGCGGGACCTAGCGCTGCCTGAGGCGCGGAGGGAACCAGCTGGCAGAAACGCTCCAATGAGGAGCACTTAGCTCTTCCCAGCGACAGGAAGGGCTTCCGTCCTCCTCCCACCATCAGTGGGCATTCGCCCTGCAGCCACTTTGCTGTTCGCATGTAGGATGGAACAGTGTGCTGTGTCCCTGGCGCTTACCCACATGTAAGAGCAGGTGCAGAGGCCACTGCCTGAGCCGCACATCGGGGAAGAAGTGAAAAACCCCACAAGTCCATGGAGAAAGGTGGGCAGAGGCTGAGGAACAAGGTGATGGAGGGGGCAGGGGACAAAATCAGAGAGCAGGCCACTCTCAGAAGTGTCAGGAACCCCCTATCTCTGGTCCAGTCCGGTGAGTGGAATTACTAACAAAAAGAGCAGCCAGGGGCCTGGCCCATCTCAGGCACAGAGCTCTGTGACGGCCCCTCAGAGGCCAGATCTTACTGGGACTGCTTTGTCCTTTTTATCTAAAGCAATGATCCTTAATGTGGGCAGAACACAGCCACTGACCCTTCTGGGGGGAAACAGCAGAACCACCAGGGAGGCTGGGCCAAGGCACCTGTCACCCGAGCCCTGCAGGAACTTTCTAGTAAACACTGTGTCCTAACCCCCTGCCTGCTGAAATGTGAGAACCACTGATCTAGAAATAGCTCCTGGAGCAAGCTCCACCAAGGTTGCTGGCCTCTCAAACAACACACCTACTATGTGCCCAGCGCTGCACAGCACCCGAGCTCAGAGCCCCCCTCAGTGTGAGAGCAGTCTAATTGTGAAGAAAGTACAGGACACACATGTGAACACACACCAGCAACGAACAAGACAAGACACGTTTGCTGCATCAGGGCAGAAAGACGGCAGACAAGGGGCACAAGCGTGGTCTCTATGGGGCCAGGCGGGCCCCGCCCCGTTGGTGCTCAATGAGGGAGGGAGCACAGGGTCTCCCGAAAGGCCGCAGCTGCCCTCGGAGCCACCCCATGCTGCACGCAACAAGCAGACCCTGGGTCACCAGACCTTCTGAACTTCCAAGGGAAGCCAGATTGGGATCGGTAGGGAAAGAGTCTGGTTTTAAATGAAGTAGTTTAAAAATGTTTAATGAGATATGGCAGTTTGCAACTTCTGGTGTAGACCACACAGTGAGAGCAATTCCGAGACAGGATCGCTGCTGGATTCTGCTGTGGGAGAAGGCGTCTCGAGGAAGAGCTTAGAAGACAAACAAGAAGTAAATGAACCGGGAAGACGGACTGAGGAAAGACCAGGAGCATGGGAATTCACATGCCACCCCACAGCAGGCCCCGCAGAGCGAAATGGGCAGAACCGACCGCGGGACGAGCAGGGAAGGAGGAGCTGCTCCCACAGTTCAAGCAAGACGGCCTGCAGAAGACAGCTGGTGAGAGGGAGCGCAAGACAGCCAGTGGTCAGGGACTGCCGCGCAGGAGCTGTGAGGACTGAGCCGCAGGCGAGAGTGGAGGTGGTCAGAATGGGGGGGGTGCAAGGGGAAAGGGGTGAAGGAGGGCTGGAGGGAGGGAGAGAAGAACTCAAGAGCAAGGACCAGGCCCTGGAAAAGGGGGTGGGGGCAGAAATGGAGAAAATATAGCCCTAAGAGTAAAAGAAAGCAATCGAGTGAAATGAGGGAAAACTTCAACAAGGAAGAAATGGCCCAAGTCACATCAAGCGCCAGGACATGACAATTAAGAGGTCACTGCTCCTTCGGAATTAGTGTTTTCTGTGTTTTTGTTATTGTGTTTTAAAAATATATTCTTACTGATTTCAGAGGAAGGGAGAGGGAAATAGAAACATCAATGATGAGAAAGAATCATTGATTGGCTGCCTCCTGCATGCTGCCTACTGGGGATTGAGCCCACAACCGGGCATGTGCCCTTGACCGGAATCGAACCCAGGACACTTCAGTCCGCAGGCCAACGCTCTATCCACTGAGCCAAACCAGTTAGGGCTATTGTTTTTTTAACTAACAGAGTGATTAGGAGTAGGAACCAGACTGCAGTGTTTGGGAGTGGGAAGGAGGTAAGAAGATGCAGTGGCAGGTGGAGATGAGTCACTCACTCCAAGATCCCACCAGTAGAGGAAGGAGAAGGTTAAAGGGGACACTAACCAAAGGCCAGCTGACCGTGAGTGTGAGATCGGGGCACACAGGGGCATGGGGCAGTGGAGTCGAGTTTTTTTCCCTACCTGAGGATACTCTGAGTCTTTCTGAAAACAGAGAAGAAGAAAAAGGAAGAGGGAGACAGGCTAAGATGAGAGGCAGATACGAGGACAGGCAGAGGTGGAAGGGGCTGAATCAGGCTGAGGTGGAGGCAACCTCAGGGAGAGAAAAGATCACATTCCCGTCACCAGCTGTGCCCCCACCAGCATCCCTTATTCCACCTCCCCCTGCCCCTCCCCCCTCCTCCTCCTGTGACTTTCTGACATACTTCTCTAGAGAAATAGGCTTGGGAGAAAAATAGAATGAAAGGGGGGAAAAAAGGACTGCTAAATAAATCTTTTCTTTTTGTGCTTTTTTTTTTTTAATATATTTTATTGATTTTTTACAGAGAGGAAGGGAGAGAGATAGATAGTTAGAAACATCGATGAGAGAGAAACATCGATCAGCTGCTTCTTGCACATCTCCTACTGGGGATGTGCCCGCAACCCAGGTACATGCCCTTGACCGGAATCGAACCTGGGACCTTTCAGTCCGCAGGCCGACGCTCTATCCACTGAGCCAAACCGGTTTCGGCTCTTTTTGTGCTTGTTAATCAACTCTTCCAACAAGATGTTTGCTACTTGGTCCTCTGCAGCCCTGCACGCAGTAGGCGTCCTATGAACACACACTCTCTGTGCTCTGCCCATGCTGTGCGAGGCTGAATGCTCGCCGCAGCTTCTTTGCTCTGTACTGTGGCTCCCGCCCATCAGGCGGGAACTAGGAAATGGGACCCCAGAAGAGCAAGGGCAGCTCATCCAGTGAAGGGCCAGCCAAGCAGTCACAGGCACCGAGATGGCTAAAGGTCGGACTCGGCGGTCATCAGGACGCAGAACTGCCCAATTCCTGTCTAGAAACTTGCAGCCACAAAGCCCAACCTGCTGGGCCCCCTAACATTGAGTGAAGTGGCACTCTTGAGGGTGCTGAGTGTGTGCACACCTGCAGCACACACCCTACCCACACACTTGCTCACTCTTTCTTTCTTTTTTTTTTAATATATATTTTATTGATTTTTTACAGAGAGGAAGGGAGAGAGATAGAGAGTTAGAAACATCGATGAGAGAGAAACATCGATCAGCTGCCTCTTGCACACCCCCTACTGGGGATGTGCCCGAAACCAAGGTACATGCCCTTGACCGGAATCGAACCCGGGACCCTTGAGTCCGCAGGCCGACACTCTATCCACTGAGCTAAACCGGTCAGGGCTTGCTCACTCTTTCATCATCACAGTGACTACACCCAGCACCTGGCTTCCTCCTCTCCGCTCCAGACCACTGGTTGTGCAGGGAGAACCTAAGCTCCAAGTGTCAGGTCAAACAGTAGAGTAGGACCAGGCGCTGCACTTCTGCCTCAGCCATGTCCTCTCATCTCTGCTAGCAAGTGCTGATGGCAAGTCAGAGAGAATTAGAACCAAAAGCTTCATGTTCAGTAAACAACCAAACTAAACATCCACTCATCATGGTGGGTAGAATCTGCCATACGCTTGGAAGGGCTGGTGAGCACCAGAGCCCGTGACCAGACACGGAGGAGGGCTCAACGGCGCAGCCGCCGTCTTACTGCTCAGTCATCAAAAAAGTGCCCGATGATGGAGCACCACGGACTGGCTTCTAGAATTCCCTTTGCAAATTCCAAACCATTTTCCCTAGGATGTATGCTCATGGAGTCACAGGGTCAGAATCAAGCCCATGGGAGTAATCGCCGAACTGGGAAAAGATCGTCAGAGGCTAGAATGTGTCAAGCCTAGATAGAAGAGAAAACCACCAGGAACTCCCCCTCCCCCAAAGAGTCCAGTTCTCGCTTCAACTGAAGATCCCAGAAGACGTTTAAATGTCCCATTAGCATGTTAATTGGGGTTAGGAGAAATTAGAGAATGCAGCCCGGAAAGACGAAACTGTGCTGGGCACCGGGAGCTCCGGGCCAGGCTGCACCCACAGGGAAGGCATGCAGAGGGCTGGGGCAGGGGCAGAGGAGAGGCGCAGAGGAGGCAGCAGCCAGCACGCAGGTTACGTTACCTTGATGGGCTTGCATTTCGGGAAGGGCCTTTTCTAAGACTGCTAATGCTTTTCTATGGTAATCTGCTTGGGCTTCTAATAACTGAGAACAGACCCACATTCAAAAACAAAAGTCATGTTAGCAATGGATGGACACACACACAATGGCTGAGCAAAACTAAAAATAAAATCTTTTGCAAAAAAACCTAAAATGACTCAGTTTTTACAACACTACCATTCTGTCAGGGCCAAGGGCTTACCGTGACAAAGAACTTGCTGTATTCCCCCTCTTTGGCCATGAAGCTGTACATATCTGCTGCCAGCTGGTCCTGGTGAGAGAAGACACGTCACTGAGAAACAGCTGTAGGAAATGGCACCTAGAATTAACTTCTGGGAGCTCCTCTCGCAAAACAGGATGGAAACAGCACAGATGGAGCGTCCATCAGCTGATGGACAACCAGATGTGGAGACAAAGAAAAAAAACGAGGAAACTTATGAGGGATGCACATGGAAAGACCTCCACAGTATGTAGTTAATACACTGTTAAGAAGTGAAGAATAGAGCCCTACTTATGGTATGTTATTACTCGGTAAAAAGAAAAAAATGTTATATATTTTTTTGCCATAATTATATAAAAACTAGAGGCCTGGTGCACGAATTCATGCATGGGTGGGGTCCAGCCGGCCCGTCCTGATTGGGCCGATCAGGACAGGCCGGCCAGGGTCAGGGGACGAGGGAGGTTGGCCGGCCAGCCGGCCTTGCCTCCTGGTCAAACTCTCAGTTGAACTCCAGGTCGAGGGGACAATTTGCTTATTAGTCTTTTATTATATAGCGTATCTCTAGAAGAAAAACGAAAATCAGTAACAGTGGTTACCTGTTGGAGGTGGTGAAAATTAGGCAGGAGGAGGAAAAGGGTGGAAGAAAAACTTTAATATACATTATTTTATACTTTTGATATTTTTTAATTAATGTAAATGATTTACACAAAAATTAAACAGGCCTGTCTGGTGTTGCTCAGTGGTTGAGCATCGACCTATGAACCAGGAGGTCATGGGTTTGATTCCTGGTCAGGGCACATGCCTGGGTTGCAAACTTGATCCCCAGTGGGGAGTGTGCAGGAGGTTGCTGATCAATGATTCTCTCTCATTGATATTTCTACCTCTCTCCCTCTCCCTCTTCTCTGTCTAAAATCAATAAAAAAAAGTTTTAAAAAATAAATAAATAAAAGTTAAACAGTTTTTTAAAAAGTGATAGATTAGACGCTAAAAATAGAAAGTAGTACATTAAATATATATGAAGACAATTTTCATATATATATATATATATATATATATGCACATCAGAATTTCATATATATTTAATGTACTACTTTCTATTTTTAGCAACAAGGTGCCTAAAATTCACATGAAGGCTCCTTGTTTATTAAAAAAAAAATCTGAAAATGCTAGTTAGGAGCAATAGACAACTAGGAATTTAACAAAGTAAATTCATGGATCTCCACCAGACCCGCGCCCCCACCCCCCCCAAAAAACACACACACACACACAAAAAAAACCAAAAAACAAAAAGAGAAAAAGAAAAAGAGTAAGGAGCGGGAGGGAAGAAGAGAGGGAGAGAAAAGGAAGGAGGAAGGGAAGATGGATAGATGGAGGGAGGAAAACCCTGACATGCACAGAGCTGAGTGGGAATGACTTGGTGAGTCTGTGCTAATTTTGGTAGCCAAGGTGTTTGAGTCCAGCAGTCATGTGGGACCAGAGGACAGAAAATGAATTCTTGGGCCTGGTGAGGTGAGGAAGTAACTGAGACAGGTGCATGCATGTCACCCATAAAGATAACATTTCTGAAACGACACTCTCAAGAGTGGATTAGGAAAAACTCGCTAAGCAGGCAGAGACATCATAGAATATACCTGTTTGAGATTGGGCTCTGGGTCTGGAACAGTAAAACATCTCCCTGAGATCTCATAAACATAGACCTGCTTTCATGAGGGTCCAGGAATCTTCCAACTAAGAAAGTTGAGTTAAAAATGGCCCATACTAGTAATAAATGCTCTGCAAATCCCCGGGAGCCCCACAGATAAAGTAAGTCCCTCTTAAAATGAGCTTACAATACAAAATTGCAAAACACAGGAGGAAACAATCTACCATAGAGCACACGCGCACCGCTCTCCCAGAGAACTTCTGAAAACAGAATTGCCAGACTGTTAAAATAAGCACACATAAAATAAGTACTGAAGAAGACTGTAGTATAAAAAAGGCAGGCTTGAAGAATGAGAACTTTAGAAGAGAAAAATATACTCAATGAAATTTAAAATTCAATGTGAATTCATTAAACAGCAGATCAAACACAACTAACAAGTCAGTGACACAGAAGAGATCTCAGGGAATTATCCAGAAGTTAGCATAAAGAGAGAAAGAGAATAGTTTCATTGATTGTCACCCCTGAAATCACAAGCCATGGTGTGGAAGTTTAGAGAAGAGACATCAGCCATAGTGTACCAGTTCAGACTCCCCAAACGTCTAACCAAATTTTGTGTAAGAAGTAGCCAACAGCCAAGACCTAGGTTACATCAGATACAGTGAAACTGCTGGGCGGATGACACTGGCATTCTGAACAGGAGTCAGTGTGTGAGGCTACTTTATAAAAGGATTGCTCTGAACATCAACTCTTTAAATGCAAGGCCATGCCGTGACTTTGGGAGTTTAATTCTTACCCACTATATTATTTTTAACAAGTCGTTTTACTACAGTTAACTGATCAAGGTTTGCTATGTTATCACTGGACCCAAATAAGCTGAAATATAACAGACTTAACGTTATCCAGTAGAATAAAGAGGCCTTTTTTGGAAAAAGTTGAATAATAGGAGGAGGAAAAGTCCAAGTCGATCATCCTACAAGTCATCCTAAAGACCTATTTCTTTACCACCTCAAATAACATGTGGAATAAACATCTATTTTCATCGATAAATGCACAGAGAATGAGATCACTTAACCATCTAATCTGAAATTTAATTTATGACATACAAAGTTCTGCTTCTCCCTAATTATAAACCAACTGTCCTAGCAACACTTAAAAAATAATCCTTCCCTTCCCAACGGACATACAATGATGCCTTTACTATAAATTCAATCTTTAAATATGATCACATTCGTTCTAGAAAATCCAATCTATTGTGCATTGTCTTAATCGCTATAACTTTATGTTTTGCTCTCCTTTTTCTTCACATATTCCTTTTAAAAAAATATTTTTATTGCTTTCAGAGAGGAAGGGAGAGGAGATAGAGGTAAAAACATCAATGATGAGAATCACTAATCGGCTGTCTCCTGCACGCCCCCCACTGGGGATTGAGCCCGCAACCCGGGCATGTGCCCTGACCAGGAATCAAAGAGTGACCGCCTGATTCATAGATTGACGCTTACCACCAAACCACACCAGTTGGGCACCTATTCTTTATTTTAAATAAGCTTAGGCATTTTTGTCAAGTTTTAAAAAACGTATTACTTGACTTTTTTTAAGTAATATTTTATTCTGGTTATAAAGTAGAGTCTTAGAAAATAAAGAAAAAAATTAAAACCACCTTTAATGTCATTTAAAGTATTTTGATAGAAATTATGTAAAATATTAAATAATTTGCAACATATGACCTTTCATCCACCATTTGCAAAAACCAAACGATTGATGCAAACACATGTTCTCATACCTTGCACTGTTCTACTTTATTCCCGGCTTCGTCCATCTCTTCCTTCAGGGTGTCTATTTTTGACGGAAGCCCCTGAAAGTTGGTTCCTGAAGATTTGTGAGCCTGGTTCCACCTGCAAAGCACGAGGGTAGTCAGTACCTGAGAACCAGCTTACATACTCAATCTCAGGGACCTCAGGGAGACAGGCTCCTTCCCTAAAACGGATTCTACCTGGGATAGGTGCCAGTACCTAGGACGCCAGCTTCTCTTAAGTTTACCCCCTAGGAATGGAAGAAGGCAAAAGAGCTTCCCCCACACAGGAACTACAGTGCTGGGAGTAGCTGTCTGCTCCCGGCAGGACTGACCACATCTTGTCTCACACAGGCCCCACCGCTGAACCTCAGACCACGAAACCCCTTTGCTAGTGTCTAGTCATGGAATTCTTGCCATGAAACACCCCTGCCCTCCTGCCTTGATCTGGAATGTTCCCTGTACCACTGGGAATGCAATGTACTTGCATTTCTTGAGACCTCTTCCTACTACCATCCTGGGCTGTGATTACTTGCAGCAAGTAAAAGCCAGAACCCCAGTCATGCAGTGCTGTACCTACCATGCCATAGCAATGGAAGCACTTTAAGAACTGAAAACACTTACAAGGAATATTCTGAAGACAAATCTACAGCAAATCTCAAACGTAACGCGGAATATTTCTGTTCCTTTTATAGTAAGTAAAAATGACAAACAAAAAAACAGCATTGTGCTACAGCAATATGGGGGTTCACGGAGTGGGGTAATAACTGAGGAGGACACGTGATGGAGTGGTGCTTCTCCCCGCCTCCCAAGCAAACAGCAATCAGTGGTGCACGTGACAGCCAACGGCAGCTCAGGATCGAGGAAGGGAGCAGTTACAGCTTGCTAAGCTGTGGGGAAAGCACCTGACATGAAGAAACTCAGTCAAGGACAGCTATGTCGCCATGTCTGCCAGACAGAATAACCGTATCTACTTCACAGGACTGCAGTGAGAGGTAAGAGGTAACAAGCAGGTGTAGCAAAGCCAAGTGGTTTTGTAAATAAAGTTTTATTGGAACACAGCCATGCTCATTCATGTACGATTGTCCAGGGCTGCCTCTATGCTACACCAGCAGAGCTGAGCAGTTGCAACAGGAACCATCCGAGTTGCAGAGATGAAAACATTTACTACTTGGCCCTTCACAGAGGTATGTCAACCCGTGTGAGAAAAGGCCTGGTGTGGTGGCTGCCTCCCTACCTCCACCTCTCAGGCCCAAGGAGAAACCCAGGGAGGTCACTGATACAAGCGTGCTCAAGAATGGCACTAAGGCTGTGGCCAGGCCATGAAACAGGAAACTGGTCGTATGACATCAGCCCACAAGCGAGCAGCCCTTAGGGGTCACTTAGTTCGGAGCACGGCGTTCGACTGTGAAGGTGATCATAACCACACAGGGGCTTTGACACACTGGGCCCTTCAGGAGCTGCTAAAATCACAGATCTAATTATTCCCACACTCTACTTTGCCAAGAGCACTGCTCTTGGCACTGCCTGCCACTTTAAGACACTCAAGTTTCTTTTTTCTTTCCTGTCCCTTTTCATTACTGGTGCACTAAGACCAGGCTGGTCTAACACCATCCCTCCTGCCACGGTTGGGAGAATGAGGCCTAACTAAAGGCCGGTGTAAGCATGTCAGGTGGGTGAACCTGCAACAACTTTCAACTGTCCATACAGCATTCTCTCACCCACACTGGGGATGGTGGCTGGGAGGTGACATGATGCCACCTTATTGGTTGCTCTTCTAGCTTTCCTTACCTGGCTCTGACTGAGTCCCAGTCTAACACCAACTTGGCAAGCTGTTTCCTCTGTTTTTGGATGTTGGGAATATCCACCTAGAAAAAAACACACCTCACACCAATTGGGATGAGATTTGGATTTCTGGTTTAACATTTAAAAGTGCAGTATTTATTTACAAACTAGAGGCTCGGTGCACGAAATTCATGCACGAGTAGGGTCCCTAGGCCTGGCCAGCGATCAGGGCCGGCCGGGGCCTCCCTTCCCTGGCTGCCACCCCCTGGTGGTCAGCACATGTCATAGCGAGCAACAGAACTCCCAGTTTCTCTTTGGCAAAGGATTATGAACCATCAATTCACTCCCTGAATTTCCAAAAAGAAGTGCATGTCAAAGGCACTGATTATTGTTAAAGTTGCAGACACAAGAGAACTACTTGCTGCCCAGCCCGCACCAAAGCACCCACCTCTGCTATGCCACACAGGGGGTCCACAATCTCCTTCTCAACAAAGACCTCGTGCTGAGAGAGTTCGAGAGCCAGCTGATTCTCGGCATCTCCACACGTCTCCAGCATCCTCCTAAGAAACAAGATGCCCCAAGAACAAACTCGTGTTCACTGAATCAGGCACCTAGTTAGCACAGCCAGTTCTGCCCTCCATATGACGGGAACACACGATGGCTGCCATGGACACCCCCCACCCATCCACTTTTATTGACCCACCGGGCCTCTGGCTCTTTCTCAAAGCAGTGCCTCTTACCCCAGGAGAGAGTCCTCTAGCTGTGTCGATGCCTCTTGCATGTTCTGAGCGAGAGCTGTCAGAGGGAGCTTTTTCTGGAAGGCAAAAGACAGTGCGTTTTTTCGTTAGCATTGATACCCACTCTAGGTTACCTGCTTCAGATCATTCACTTGTTTCTCCTCCGGACAAACTACACAGGTAGGAGACAGCCTGGCTCTGGTCTCAAAGGTATGAGTGGTATGACTTAAGCTTGGCGTCAGTTTCCCGTGCCTGGACTATAGGGATGAGAATGGGGCAAGGTCCCAGGGCTGAGGCTGCCCTAAGGAGGGATTCAACACCAAGTACTCAGCACGCGTTCAGTCCTCAGTAAATGGCAGCTGCCATGTTGCTGTTGCTGTACTATTATTAATTGATCAAGTGCACACTATGTCCCAGGCACTAGACATACAGTTACTTTGATTATCACAACAAATAAATGCAGTAAGGTTCTCAATTTCAAAAACTTTTGCTAGAACAAGCATTCTTAAACTGGCTGTTAATTTGGCTGTAATAATAAAGATTTAGCTTTAGTTACATGTCTAAAACTATCTAGCCAAATTTCCAAATAAACTTTTTTAGGGTTTTAAGCACAAAGCCTCCTCTTTTCTTATCAGATTTGTTTTTCAGCTGAAAACGGCCATAAGAATCATCCGATTAATGTTCTAATTGCACAGCCAAGGAAGCAGGAGGTGGGGAGTGAGATGGAATGGCCAGGCACCAGGTGAGGGATGGCAGAGCCAGACCCCAGGGCCAGTGGCCTGAGTCCGGGTTTGGATTTTCCACCACTGGCTGATAGCTCATCTCAGAATACGACTAAGAGAGGAGGGGAAAGTAACAAGTGGGGTGGCTACACCACTGTAATCTGCTCACAGAAGGTACTGCCCCGTTGCAGGGCTCCACGTCCCTCTGCCTTTCCATTAGAAAGGGCACGCACAGCAGACCAGGCTCCCCTCACTAGGGCACTGTGGCTTGACCTCAGCATGTCCCTCTCTTTCCTGCCTTCACAGGGCTCCACCCGACACACTCACACCGTATTTGCTTGTATTGTACAGAGTCTCTCTGGGAGGCTGTATACGGAATACTGGTGGCTCTAGAGAGGGAATGGTACTAGGAAAACAGGCTGGGAAGGTCTCACTGTATCTTCTTGGGTATATTCTAGATTTTGACCATGTAAATGGATAGCCTGTTGAAATGTAAAAGTAACCACAAGTACGTTTATCCCTCTGCCTTCCTCCCAAGTTATTTTCAAACAAGTAGTAGGCTTCGCCTGCCCTACTGCTGTCTCCACACTTCTAGACTAGGAAGACCCCTGAAAATGGGGAGCCTGCTTTATCTCAACAGAGGAAAAGTTGCACATTTCAGTCCTGCTGCCTTCCAAGGGCATTTCACACAGGTAACCGTGATGATCAAGAGAAACACACTTGGTGCAGCCCCGGAGCTCTCGGGCCTTTGGGGGAGGTCATAAAGAGGAGTCTGTTTGTTGAGCATCACCCTAGCTCTCAGTGCCAACAGCCTGTGGCTCCCCTGCCGACCCCAAAGCCACAACAACCCTGTCTCCTGATGTGCAAGCATTAGGACATTCTGCTTATTTGACACATGAGCTCATTGATGAAGATGCGGTCCACCAACATCTAACTCCTCCATGGAGAGGTGAGGCCTAGGGCTTCAGTGAAAAAGCCTCACGTCGTGATCTATAAAAGGCATGCCAACTGCACAAAGAGAAGCAATTCCAGATCGATACGACCCACAATATAAGCTCTGCCGTGTCAATGGCTCGGGCTGAGGCCACTGCCCTGTCTCCCCTCAATTCTTTCCTCTTCACATGTGTAGGAGTTACTGGTGGGGCTTGTGGGATTTCCTCCCGTCTCTCCTAGAGACTGCTGTGACTTTCTCCCTATTATATGACCTCTTCTGGTCACCCCTCTTCTATCATTTCCATGGTGACTCCTCTTCCCACATGCAGAGTGAAGACTTCCTCAGAGGCCAGTCTCGGGCACTTTTGTTTGAGATTGGGAAAGGAAGCTTAAAGCATTAGGTTTTAAAAATGAGGGCCAGGCACCCTTGCCCCTGCTCCCTGGAATATGCCCATCACCTGCCATTCATTTCCCTTCTGTAAAGCCAGGATACCACCTCCTCCAGGAAGCCCACCTGACTACCCCTCTCCTCCTCTGGTGCCCATTCTTGGGCCTCCCATAATACCCTGTGCATATTTTATTTAGCATGTTGCTTTATAGTCATCCATTTGTGTGTATCTCCCCCACTAGGCTGTGGGCACCTTCAGGGTGGAGATGGCCTGTTACTCATCCAGCATTTGCACGTGGTATGTCTTGTTCCTTCTGTGTCTGCTTTGAGGCACAGCCCTGCTGTCACATATACTCATTAGACACAAATAAACATTTATCAAACACCGAACTGTGTGGACAATGCATACAGCATGAAGGAAAGGAAACAGAGACAATGGGACTGATAAGGGGAAATTCAATCCGATTAGCAAGGGCGTAAGTCATGCTAAAAGCTTAGACCTTGCCGAAACCGGTTTGGCTCAGTGGATAGAGCGTTGGCCTGCGGACTGAAGGGTCCCAGGTTTGATTCCGGTCAAGGGCATGTACCCTGGTTGTGGGCACATCCCCAGTAGGAGATGTGCAGGAGGCAGCTGATCGATGTTTCTCTCTCATCGATGTTTCTAACTCTCTATCCATCTCCCTTCCTCTCTGTTAAAAATCAATAAAATATATTTAAAAAAAAAAAAAAGCTTAGACCTTAACCCGCAAAGGCAGCATGTCCCTGACAGGCGCTGCTGGCACTGGGGCACCTTCAAGTGTAGAACTATCCCTTCAGACACTGCAGATGTTGGGCGCTTTGGTTGCCTACCCTCCAAATGCCGGTAGTGTACCTCAGTCCCTATGGCAACCAAAAATGTTTCTACACATTTCCAAATATCCCAGGAGTGTAGTCTGGTCCCTGTGGAGAACAACTAAATGAAGTTTTTTGTTGTTGTTTGTGTTTTTTTTTTTTGTCTCTCTGTTTTAAGGCAGGAGGATGACAGGGTTAATCTGTATTTCAGGAAAACAACTCTGGTGACCAGGTTGAAGACAGCCTGGAAAAGAGGGTGATCAGGACAGGCAATGCCACTCCGGAGGTGCCTGTGGCAGTCCAGGTCTCGCCTGGGAGCCAAGTGGCGGAGTGGGAGGAGAGGGGAGGGGAGGAAGTCAAACAACACTCACAGAGAATCACAAGATATGCTCACTGAGCCGCTCCAGGACACTGAGGGCAAACTGAAAGGGACGTAAGATAACCCCGCAGTTTCTAGCTTGCGGAACCGGGGCTAGAATTTGAGTCAGCACAGAACTGGTTATGCATGCCAGAACAGACAGCGAGGGGAGGGAGCTTTCTACTTGGTTGAAAATGGTTTAGAAGTCCCTGTATACAGACATCAGTTAGAAGCCATGAGACTAGAGGAAGTGGTCCAAAGCACGTGACTGTGAGACTGAGAAGGACAGACCTCAGAAAACAGTATTAAAGGGGCAAACAGAGCAGAAGTCGTGGCAAGAGAAGGAGGAGTGGCAGGGGCTGATTCCGAAGAATGAGACCTGAGGCAGGCACTCCTGGGATTGCAGGTGTTTGCAAACTTCCACTCCTTGACATACACACTGCAGAGTGCTTGGTGCTATGCACGCGAGGAATGACCCAGTTGTCAAAATGCCCCATAAACGTCTGTAGGTAATGTAAAAGAAAACGGCACAGGTCACCTGCGTTCCAGCTCTTCCTTTTGAGACACCGGGTGACAAACAAAACAACAGCAAAAAGAAGGTTTCTCACCCCATCAAGACAACCACTGGAAGCCCTGGCCAATGTGGCTCAGTTGGTTGGACATTGTCTGGTGCACTGAGAGATTGCCGGTTTGATTCCCAGTCAGGGCACAAGCCTGGGTTGTGAGCTCAATCCCCAATAGAGGGTGTGCAGAAGGCAGCCAATTGATGTTTCTCTCTCTCTCTCTCTCTCTCTCTCTCAAATCAATAAAAAAACATATTTTTTTAAAAAAAAGACAACTACAGTAAAGAGATGCTTTCTACTCCAGGTGGACACACACAGGAGAGCGAACCCAGGGAAGCAGCAGACAGCCAACCTGCAACTAGGAGGGGTGTCCACTAGGGGTCAAGTGGACACTGAAGGGAGAAATGAGAGAAGGAAAGACACTGGGCTTGTGGCTTCATCACTGAAATGCTAGCTCGGAAGCCAATAAACTCTACTTTCTAAGTGAATTTCAGACAAGCCTTCAGCTTTTGCCATTAAAAGATTCCTAACTGACAAGTCCATTCTCTAATCCATGACAAATGGCTCCAGTCAAAAGCACTGGAGTGGGCAGGGCTTTCAGCCTCAATGATATCCTAAGCTCAAAAGAATGTTGTGGGCGGGCAGGTGTTGTGAGCATGGATGTGAGATAAGGTACAAATCTGCAGGCAAAGCTGATGTTGCCTGGGGAATCCAGCCAGTCAAAGGAGAAAGGTCCTCAAAGAGACAAGAACTGAGAGCGGAGTCGCATCTGCTACTCACGTGTCTCTTGTCGGCGTCCGTGCCATGCTGGCCCTGGAAGCACGCCGTCAGGCGCTTGTGAGAGTGGTGGCACATTGACCGCACCGCATCCAGGCGCCGTTCGATCTGGCAAAACAGAGACAAATGGGCCATGTGCAGGACTGAAGAACAAACTCAGCCTCTTCCTTATGTGGCGCCTGCACTAGGCAGGGAAGCACCCAGCAGTCAGATTTGTTGGCTCCTGGTAAAGATGAGAATGGTTCCTGTCCACTGACATCAGTAACTGTGGGACGTGGGGAACTGTCCTGTGAATGACAGGATGTGTGGCATCATCTCTGGCCTCTATGTACTGGATGTCAGTAGTTGTGACAACCAAAACTGTCTCCAGAAAATGTCCAATAACCCCTCAGAGAACAAAGTCACCTCAGTGAGACCCACTGACCTCCCTCACTCTGAGGGCTTTAGATCCCCGAGATGCTGAGTCTAAACCTGCCACAGAAAGAGCAGTGGCAGTGACGTCACACGCCACAGCACCAGGAATGGGCCAGGTCCAACCTCCAGCGCAGACCAGGCCCACTGCGGGGAGGGAGAAGCCGCAGGGCCCTCAGCAGCTCTCCTGCACATGGCAATGTGGCCACCCACACAGCAAGCAGAAGAGACACAGCAACTGACCACACTTTAACTTCAGGATCCATGTTTTCAAAACTATTCCTTATTGTGCGTGGGGTGGGTTTTTGTCTTTGTTTTTGAAATAAGCCTCTAAAGCAGAATGGCAGCCAGTAGTAAGAAACACTGACTTAAGGGACCCCCGCATCATGATTCGCTTCCCAAAATATTACTGCTGGGATATGGCCATTTATGGCAAAGGAGCTGCTTTTTACAGGAAGGAATGCCAAAAATGTGTATTCTGATGACTCACTAAGAATGAACAGGCCCTTAGGGATGCTTTCTATTTTAAAGAAAAATCAACAAATTCAAAGCAGAATACACTTTTGCCCCAAACATTTTACCCAATGAGGAGGCTCTGTGCCTCTTTCTCTAAGGTCCTCATGCACAGAGCAGCTTTCGTCTAGAGGCAAGCCCGGTGGGTCACCAGGGCCCCGGTCTGGCAGGCAAGTTTATATTTAGCAGCAGATGCCGCATCAGCTTCCCCAAAGCTTACAAATGGCCAGATTTTAAAACAGAAAACTAATACACACGCTTCACTTGCCACAAAAGCCTGGGGGAAACCCCCCAAAAAACTCCATTTCATTCTGACTCCCATTTGCACTAGAATGTACAGTCGGCAGGGACAAGGCTGTGGCCTGTTCTGCTCACACCATATCCCAAGTACGTGGAGCGCGTCTGGCACACAAATGGAAGGTGCTCACTCACTATCCGTTGAACGGACACGTATCTATTGAGTCCCTGTGCAGGGCATTAGAAAAAGAGCAGTACATACATGGTGGCTCCTGCCTCCTGGGAATCACAGTTGCCACAGGAAACAACATGCAAGCTAAATAAACAGACAGCCTCTTAAACAGCTCTCACGGAGACCCAAGAAAGGATGCAGGGCAGCGATTTTCAACCGGTGTGCCACGGCAAGAATTTTTCAAACATGCAATACCAGGAGTCCTGACCTCTTTTCCCTTAAATCGTCAATGAAAAAAATGACAACAGCCATCCAGTGTGAATGAATCAAAGGTATACCTATTTTTTGTCAGATGGGCAAAAAATGTAATTTTTTTTTTTTGGTGTGCCGCATGACTGTAATTAGTTTATGTGTGCCATGACATGAAAAAGGCTGAAAATTGCTGACGTAGGGGGACACAGAGCAAGTTAAGGGAAATTTCACACCAGAAACAAAATCATCTCTGGCCTGCAACAGTGGGAACAAAACAACACATCACCCTTCAGCAGGGCCACGTGCCGGGCTCCGCGCTCCACCCCATGCTCTCCCAGGGTTAACTATGAGACGGATACAGCGATCACCCGCCTTTCAGAGAACTGGAAACTGAGGCATGGGGTGGTTAAGTAAATCCCCGAGGCCGCAGAGATAGGCAGGGGCAAAGCTGGAGTTCGAATCCAAGTAGCTGGGCACCAGACTCCACACCTTTAAGCACTACTCTCCCTCTCTACACTCAAAAACAACAGAAATCAAAAAACATCTGCAGCAACGATGGCGGACAAGGTTATCTGTGTCAAAGTAAGGAGTTCCTAGAAACTGGCAACCTCTTCAGCCCAGCAGATGTTTGGGCAAAGGGACAAGAACAGATGGCTGCTGCCTGCGCTCCAGGGAAAGGGGCCGCTGGCCTCATCTCAGGGCTCCAAGGATTAAGTGAGGTGATGTATGCCACTGAGGTGGGGGTGGGCGGGAGAATACTGACATTTATGAAAATGAGTTTGGTAAAGCTTAACTGGACCAAACAATACTTCTGAATGTCTGAAAATGAGTTAGAAATATATGACAAATAAAACAATGGGAAAATATTAAGACTATAATTCTTTAATAAATCTTGGGGGGGAGGGGGCTTCTAATCCTTAATGAAAACTTCCAGTCCTCCAAAAATAAAAAAAATAAAGAAACGAAACTGTGCTCTTAAAATATTCTACTGCAGACGGCTGTCATAATTAGCACGTTGCGGCCTGATGTGGTAGAAGCAACATTTTTTTTTTTAATTTTTTTTAAAATATATTTTATTGATTTTTTACAGAGAGGAAGGGAGAGAGAGTCCTCGGGGACGCGCCTTCCCTGCACAGGGAGAGAGTCACCGGGGGGGCAGGCCTTTGGTCCTCGGGGACGCCCCGGAGCAGACGGGCAGATTACAGAAATGAGACGCAAGGAGGCAGGTGAGGAGGGCTCTGTCCTTCCTGAAGTATGTGGTGTGGGTGGGGATGGAGTAGGGCAGGGTGAAGTGATATGTATCAAGGGTCCAGGGCCTTCAACCCACCCCTGAAGTTAGGGAGACCTGTTGAGAGATGGAGGGGAGCGGACCTGGCTCAGGCCCTGGGCAGCAACGCCTCTCCCTACGAAGAGGAAAGAAAGTTTGAGCTAATGACTTGAGGCCACCCCCTACGCCTCATGGTGATTCTGACACATCCAGTCACCTGTCACTGAGACCCTAAGTCCCACAGGGCCCAACTCAACTCAGTCGGGGAGCCAGATTGTAAGAGGGCGCAAGGAGTCAAAACTCTAGGCCCTGGCTGGTTTGGCTCAGTGGATAGAGCGTCAGCCTGCGGACTGATGGGTCCTAGTTTCCATTCTGGTCAAGGGCACATGCCTGGGTTGCGGGCTCAGTCCCCAGTGGGGGGCGTGCAGGAGGCAGCCGATCAATGATTCTCTCTCATCACTGATGTTTCTATCTCTCTCTCCCTCTCCCTTCCTCTCTGAAATAAATAAAAAATAAAAAACTCTAGGATGAGCCCTGGCCACATGTGTAGTTTAGTGGTTAGAGTGTCTGCCCGCACACCAAAGGTCAACAGCACATACCTGGGATGCAGATTCGATCCCCATCCCCAGGTGGAGTATGTGTGGGAGGCAACCAATTGATGTATCTCTCTTACATTGCTGTTTCTCTCTCTCCCCCCTCCCTCCCTTCCACTCTCTCTAAAAAAAATCAACGGAAAAAAATATCCTTGGGCGAGGATTAACCAAAAACAAACAAAAAAACCCCACACAACTCTAGGTTGAAGCCAGTGGGGCCTCTGCTGCAGCTGGCAGGGCCTCTCCCATCAAAGGCCTCATCACAGCAGCAAACTCCAGCCCCTCGACCTGCCCAGGACCTGTGACCAGGCCCCCACCCCCACTCCAACACCTGGCGCTAGAAAGCAGGGCCAGCCCCTGTGAACAACACAGCGTGACCAGTTTCACATCTCCTTTATCACCATGCAACTCAACGGCCGTTCTTTCCTGCTCAAACCATGCTAACCAATGTCATTCTGCTTTAGGCTTAAAAAAAACCCCATAAGCTTCAGCTCTCACCTATGGATTTTTTTTTTTAACATGCCTTTAAACAGGACATTTTAAAAATACTTAATTTAGTTACCTGTAGCAGATCTTCACTGAGGACTTCTGTTTTCTCAGCTCTGTAGGGAAAATTAAAGTTCAGAGTTAGAGATTCAGAAATGAAAAGCAACTCAGGACAATTAATAATTATTACCCCAGAATTTAAAACAAAACAGGCAGACATGAATGTAACAAGTGGAGAAATTCTACCAATTTTTACATCAGAGGACAACTTAAGCAAAACCTGTTGTTTTTTTACTACAATCTAAGTGCCATTTGGACTCCTGACTCAAATAGTGATTTAAACCAAGCCATTTAACAAACCTACCAATTCTCTTGGAAATAAACAAGGACATTTCTAAGAGAAAGGAAAAAGTCTGTTGCAGTCCTCAACATTGGGGAGTGGCAGAGAAAGGGAAGGCAATGAACCAGGAATTCTGAGCCTTTGTATAAGATACATTGCAGAATGGAAGTGCTTATCTTGCCCAGGAACTATTGCAAGAAAAGGAAAAGCCATGAACCCAGAAAGTGAATGGAATCCATTAAAATGACCTCAAAACATTGCTGGCCCAGAAGAGCGCCAGCTGCCACCAGTATGGTGGTGCACACCCCCAGCCTACGCGGAAAACCGAGATTGCCACAGAGGTCTCCAATACCCGCTGCCACAGCACTGCCCACTGACTTGGATGGCCACGGGAGTGGCTCCCTCACCAGTTTCTGCAGGAAACCGAACTCTGATCTGACTCCAGTATCTCCCAGGTCTAGAGGAGCAGGGCCTGCAGCAGGGCAAGGCCCTGGCTCCCGTGGAGGCCAACTCTCAGCTCTCTGAACAGGTCCTGCAAGCAGCAGACCAAAATATGCCAGCCTAGAACTCACTTAGCATGCAGGGGGCCAGGCGTTGCTTAAGTGCCAAACACAGGTAGTCATGCCAGTTAGGAAAGTGGAGGCCAGGGCTCAGCTGGCCTATGAGCTCAAGGAACCAGACTCAAAAAGAACCCCAGCAGTCAACTAACAAGGACAAACCTGGAATGAGACCGCCGCAGCTTCCCGCCGTGCGCCTGCGCCCCATAGCCTCTCCCTGTCTCTAGCAAAGCACCTCCAGGGACTGTGGGACTTGGACAGTGTCTTCTCTGGCCAACACCCAGGGACCTGAGCCGGGCCCTGTACACCTTGGCAGGACCTCTGCCCTCTGCGAGGGTAAGTGTACACACAGGAAACTCCCAACTCCCATCAGCACACAATGGACCCTGAACAACAAGGATTAGGAGCAGCAAATACCCGGACAGCCAGAAATGTACAGACAACTTTTCACTCTTCCAAAGCTCACTAACAGCCTACTCAACCGGAAGCCTTGCTGTAACAGTTAACACATACTTTGTATGTAATATGTATTGTATACTGTATTCTTACAATAAAGATAGAGAAAGAATATACATTTTTAGTATTTACTAGTATTAAAAAAGATCTTTAAATAAATGGGCCTGTGCAGTTCAAACCCGTGTTGTTCCAGGGTCAGCTGTATTTATAAGTTCAAAAGAAGAGATTCAGAGCAAGTATGTCCTCTTATGAAATGAACTTATTTTATATATTTATTTTTTAATATATTTTTATTGATTTCAGAGTGAGGAAGGAGGAGGGAGAGAGAGATGGAAACAAAAGAACCCCAGCAGTCAACTAACAAGGACAAACCTGGAATGAGACCGCCGCAGCTTCCCGCCGTGCGCCTGCGCCCCATAGCCTCTCCCTGTCTCTAGCAAAGCACCTCCAGGGACTGTGGGACTTGGACAGTGTCTTCTCTGGCCAACACCCAGGGACCTGAGCCGGGCCCTGTACACCTTGGCAGGACCTCTGCACCTCTGCCCTCTGCGAGGGTAAGTGTACACACAGGAAACTCCCAACTCCCATCAGCACACAATGGACCCTGAACAACAAGGATTAGGAGCAGCAAATACCCGGACAGCCAGAAATGTACAGACAACTTTTCACTCTTCCAAAGCTCACTAACAGCCTACTCAACCGGAAGCCTTGCTGTAACAGTTAACACATACTTTGTATGTAATATGTATTGTATACTGTATTCTTACAATAAAGATAGAGAAAGAATATACATTTTTAGTATTTACTAGTATTAAAAAAGATCTTTAAATAAATGGGCCTGTGCAGTTCAAACCCGTGTTGTTCCAGGGTCAGCTGTATTTATAAGTTCAAAAGAAGAGATTCAGAGCAAGTATGTCCTCTTATGAAATGAACTTATTTTATATATTTATTTTTTAATATATTTTTATTGATTTCAGAGTGAGGAAGGAGGAGGGAGAGAGAGATGGAAACATCAATGATGAGAGAGAATCACTGATTGGCTGCAGCCTGCAGACCCCTCACTGGGGATGGAGCTTACAACACAGGCATGTGCCATGATGGGGAATCGAACCGTGACTTCGTAACTTCGATGCTCAACCACTGAGCCAGGCCGGCTGGGCTGAAATGAACTTATTTCAAAACTGTAACAAAAGAGGAGGGAAGCGTGTGTTACAATCCCAGTGTGGGATGTCAGCAGGAGTGTGCTGGGATTCGCACAGGAGAACCACTGCGTGCAACTTTTCCTAGCTCCTTGTTCAGGGGCCTCACACTGGCAATTTGAAAATAAAAATAAAAAACAATGCAAATAAGCGCAAACAATACAAATCAGGGCTTTTGTGGGGTAGGAAGGGATTCAGATGTTAAAACATTTATGGGCACAGCACTGCAATAGCCACACACACAAAAAAGCAAGTATGAACTTCAGAAAAAAAACCCAGAAAGTCCATCAGAAAGATAATCATAGTACACTACTATGCTCACCTTCAAATAATTGATTTGCTGTGATAATGAATAGTAATAAATCCAAAAATTGTAATGTAACTGTATTGGCAAGATAAGGGAGCAGAAGCAGAGAGGAAGGTTACACAAGAACCCTAAACCATCATTTATCATAAGAGGTCAATAAATTATACCTAAACTTGATAACTCAAAGGGTAGCAGTTTACACATATTTATAAACATGAATGAGTAAATGCCGGAATAAACAGCTACAATGTGAAAGGAGTTGCCTCTTTGGTTGGGGAATCTCAACTAGGAGAGTGGGGTGTGTGGGGGAGAACCCACTCTACTTTGTGATAAGCCTTTTATGGTATTTGACTTTCTAAACTACACAGATACATAGTTTCAAATTTTTAAAAATAATGTTAGTTACACTTTCAAGTAACATGCTTGATCTGATTTTAAGTGAAGCATAACTCTACTTTAAAGCACTGAGTCCAACCGCCAACCTACAAAAGTACAACAGAACACATACCTCAGAGTATCCAAAACACAAGGCAAATCAGCATTATTTTCCCACTTACAAATTAACAACTGGACCCTTTGCTTTAAATTTAGAGGCCTTTTACCTCAAAAAGGTATCTGGAGGATGAAAAATATATGAAAATGTGTACACGCTGTTCAAAAATAAATTTGCACTATGTCTCCTGCCTTTGTGGACACTGTATATTGCATTGATAAAATTTTAGAAAGATTTCCAATGCATCTTCTTAACCAGATTTTAGGGTTTACTGAAATTATTTAAAATTACCTATAATCAGAAGAGATTACTTTTTCTCCCAGCTTTACTGAGGTATAATTGACAAACAAAACTATATCTATTTAAAGTATATAATGTGATGATTTGATTTACACTGTGAAATGATTATCACAAACTCATCTGTCACCTCCTACAGTTACCCTTTTTGTTCCAGTTGTAAGAATGCTTAGTAAACTTCCAGTATATAATACACTATTACGAGCTGTGGTCACCATGCTGTACATTAGATCCCAGAACTTACTCATCTTATAACTGAAGGTTTGTATCCTTTGACCAACATCTCCCCGTTTCCCCCACTCCCTAGCTCCTGGCAATTATGATTGTACTCTCTGTTTCAATGAATTCATTTTTATTTTTATTCCACATGTAAGTGAGATCATACAGTTTTTGTCTGTGTCTGGCTTATTTCACTTGTATATGTCCTCCAGGTTCACCATGTTGTTGCAAATGACAGGATTCCTTCTTTCTCGTGGCTGAGTAATATTCCAGAATGTGTGTGTGTTCCATCTTTGTTCTTTCACACAATGGTAGGTCGTTTTCACATCTTGGCTATTGTGAATAATGCTGCATTGAACATACAAGTGCAGATATCTCTGAGATACTGATTTTATTTCCTTCAGATATATACCCAGAACTGAGATTGCTGGACCATAAATAAGGTAGTTCTATTTTTAATTTTTTGAGGAGCCTCCATACTGTTTTCCATGGTGGTTGTACCAATTTACACCAACAGTGTAAAAGTGTTCTAATTTCTCCATATTCTAACATTTGTTATTTCTTGTCTTTTTGATAACAGACATCCTAACAGGTGTGAGGTGATATCTCACTGTGGATTTTCATATACCTGTTAGCCATTTATATATCTTTTTTTGAAAAATGTCTGCAATCACACACCCTTTAGAAAAATGTCTACAATCATGCCCTGCATAATGGCGTTTTGGTTAACAAGAGACAGCACGCGCGCGCGCGCGCGCGCGCGAGCGCACACACACACACACACACACACACACTGGTAGTCCCATAAGATTATAATGAAGCTAAGAATTCCCATTGCCTGCTGATGCTGTACCATCATGATGCTGTAGCCATTTCGACGTAGTTGCATAAAGGTTGCAAAAATCAACAAGGCTGTGGTGGAGATGGCAATAACTTAAACCTGGGTGTGGAAGAGGGTGACACAGAAGAGCTCGGAGAGGTGGTTCTGGAGGAACTGACTAATGAGGAGTTGTTGGAACTAAACAGGAATACAGCTGAAGAGGAGGCAAGAGAAAAGGAAACTGCAGAAGAAAAAGAACCCCAAGAAAAGTCACAGTGAAGGGTTCGATTCAGCAGATGTTTTGGCAGACCTCAACCAGCTCTTTAAAATGTTTTAAAAACATGAACCCCAACACTGAAAGGTTTTCATTCATAGAGAGGGAATGTTCATGGTACATTATCTTCTAACAAGCAAATCTATGATGAA